GACTATTTTATATTGCTGTAACAAGCACGCTTTTCACTTCACATGCAACATCTTCTCTCTTTGGTATTTTAAATTAAGAGAAAAAAATGGCCGCCACCACCGACGCTCCCGCGATTTCCCGAGGCAGCCGAGAAGGTACGCGCACGAACAGACGCATTGCAGCGCGCGGCGATGAGAGCTGCGCATCCGCCAGCCTCAGGCAGAGCGCGCGCCACGCGGAAACAAATGAGGCGCAGGCAGCGCTGCAGGCTAATTCCGCGCAGCTACCAGCCCCTTTTTATGCGCAAAGAAAATTGTCTAGTAAATTATGAATGATGTTAAAAAAATGCGTAATTATGGAATTGGAGGTACTTGATGGTGACTAAGATGAAGAACGTGGTTCGAAAATAGTCTACTTATTTTTTCGAGATATTTTTTAAGTTGAGGAAAAGACAACAAAAAATAAACAAACGAAAAAGCCCAAACATTTAAAAAAAAATACTTTTTTTACTCTTAACGCACCAAAGCAATGATGAGTTACAAAGACCACTCTGTTGATCATGTTCAGTTTGAAACCTAAAGATCTAAGGGAGAAATGTTGGTATTTACGCTTGCGACAATACTTCATCGTTTAAGTACGGCAAATTGCCTATATACCCCTTAGATGTTGCCAACTAACTACGACTTGTTAATATGTACTGCGGAATTTCGTATTATACGATAATATTGACATATAACATAGTATTGTATAAAATGTATTAATATGCTACAAAATATAGTGCTGTTAACTGATAAACAAATTCAACAAACGTTGACAAACATCAGGCGAGACGGTGTACTAGTATGCATGCACCCGCCGACATGCTTTAATTATTTTTTATTTCGCGAAGATTGTTGTTCACTTGAGTAAAATTGAAAATTAAATTCGATAAAAACAAACTTTTGGCACTTTTTTTTTTGAAAAAAATTTTTATACGAATGCCTTGCAGACCCTATCTGGTTTTGTGCAACTCTAGAAAAAATATCTTTACTGTACATTATTTCATGTAAAACAACAGAGTCGTTTTATTTCCTGATTAAGTTTACAACTCTCTTCCCGCTTTTCTGTTCAACGAATATAAACTACCTTCTCTATCAAAAGAAAAATGAACATCAGAAAACAGCAATTTAGATTGTGTTTTTACACTTGGAATATAAAAACAGCCTAAGGCGAAAGAAATGAGCCATACACGTGATAGAATTCTACCATATATTCATCGTACAATGAAATTTGTTCTGAACAATCTTAGTTAAGTAATATGTTACACTCCATAGAAATTTGATAAAAGTGAGCATCATGGTACAACGATGATGTAAGGAGAAGCAGGAAATGACAGAGAACCATTCCATCAACCTGATGTGTTCGTGAAAATTTCAAATGGGATGACCGGGATTTGAACCTTCATACCTAGAATAATCTTGAAAGTATTACCGCTGCTATCTGAAGTTTCTACCCATAAATGTGCGTGGTGGAAAACTACGGAGTAGCCAACTACATTTCTGGGGTCTCTTTTCGCTTAATTGCTTTTATTTTAAGACATATTATATTAGTCAATAAATAAAACACGGTAATATGAATTCAATTATAATATTAATAAATACCACTTTTATACTATTAATAAATAAAATTGTTTTTTTGTTGAACAATATTCAGGGTTGCAGATGACTATGAGATCCTCCTTCCTAAATTCGGACAACTCCTCAAATTGTGAAGTTAAAAATGACGAAATGAGGGATACATATTCACCGAAATATTTTTTTTCAATGCGTAAGTCTAAAGGGTTCTTTTCGAAATTTTCAGGCCTGCCACTGCCCTTACTCTCCCATCTGCGCACGTCTGTTTCCATCTAGATTACGTGCAAAATAAAGAATGTTCACAATTCAGAACTTTTTAAAAATAATGAAATCTCTGCAGAATTTCATTTCCTAGTTTATGTCTACACAAATCCTGCCCTGTTATATTGAATCAAAACCAGAAGACTTAAATTATAAAATATGCCATCCAGCATTATATCTTCTGTAGCTGAGGCAAATATTTACTAATATTAGTGAAACGCTCTAGGATAATCATCTTTAAGAATTGAAAAAAAACTGGTAAGTACAAATTCTGACACGCAATTCTGTGACCGCAAATAAACATGGACTATTTGGACCAAATGTTTCAATACTTTCATAGTTTTCCCGTAACTAATCCTTGAAAAACTAAAAAAAAAACTTTATAATTTTTTCTATGTATCTACAGATTGTTGTGAAGTGATCGAGAGTAGTTTGATAAGACATATTTAACTCAAATCGCATAAATTGCATTAAAGTTCCACTGCTGGGCTACTTGAACCCACGCGATATTCTCGTTCATAATACCACTGAGATTTGTACTGGATCTATGTGCTTCTAGGTTTTCTTGTACTATAATGTACTACAAACACGAGGAAAACTTCAATAGCTGTAATGAAGTTTCATTATCTAACTTTTTATCGATGACTGTGAATGCTTAAAAATAATTTCACTCATTCTTGCTCTGGGAGATTATCTTCGAAAACAGTAACAGTTTTGCCACGTATAAGTAAGACTTCACAATAAATCGGAAATCCAGTTAATCAACAAGACATCTGAAATTACTGATTTAGTCATGATGCTTTTTGTCTTCAGTAAACATTTTTGAATGGCCCGGTTTCTGAATGGATTTCTTCAGTCCCCTTTTTATAGTCGATCAAGTAATAAGTCGATGATAAAGTAAACTTCAGTTGGCTTTGTGCCATTATTCCCAACAATTGCTGTCACACATTACTGGTCCTTATAATCCGCATATTTTCGACTTTAGGAAATCTATTGTAACAGTGTACTAAAACGGTCAGGTTATTGTAAAAGCAAGAGAAAATTACTATTGTTGAAGTTGTAAATATTGAAATTCAAAACTATTAACGCATTAAAAAGATAAAAAAGAAAGTTTCGGGTTTCTTAACCTCACTGTGAGCATGGGTCCAAATACCCCGGTTTCTGAGATTATGTGCTCACAATTAGGAAATCTGAAGGAATTGGGGAAGGCGTTCTAATAATGACAAATAGCCGTTCTATTAGCAAATATATTATTACTGAAATCTAATCTGATCCCGTGATCTAATCTTGCTATCCCGTTTTGAGATAAGTTTGCAAGACTCAAATTCAGCAATTTCGCCCCCAGACACTTCATAGAGTGCTGAAAATTAAGTGTGTGCCACCGAATTATGTTAAACGCGTTTATTACTGCACTGTGTTGCCATCGCACGGAAGCAACTGCAAAGTAACTGGTCAATGAAATGAATAAGTGACAACAACAGCTGAAAACATTTTTGGTGTGGGTTCAAGTAGTACCTAAGGGTCCGAGTACCCCGTGATAAAGGTACTCGTCTTCTTAAAACTATGTCTTGGAACGCGCCACAAAACTGTTAATTAATAATCAACACGAATAGTTGTATATTAATAATACAATTAATTAATTTTTACTGATAGTGGTGACAACTAAATAATTATAATTCATAATTATTAATTTTAATAATTAAATTCAATAAATAAAGTAGCCCTTGAGAAATGATTTAATTGCTGTCTGTGAATTAGACTACATAATAATGTTAATAAATAAAAAAATATTTAAAGTATGTAGTGACTTTTCTGGTCTCTTTACTAATCGTTTTATTACATACGCACAAATGACGCAATGAAGCGGGAAATTTGGTGGTTTACAAATTTTAGGCGAAATACAAATCAAAATTCATATGATCAGTGATTTTTATTTGTTTCTCTCTTTTGTTGCGGCGTCTTCCGTCGGAAACGAAGGCGGTGGTTCTGCGAATGTGTTTGCGGCCGTGAGTGTACCGACATCTCGCTCGCCGCGCGGGCTATTCTCTTTCGCCTCACGCTTCCGCCCCTCCTTTCGCCCCCCTCCCCCAGCCGCCTCCGCGTCGCCGCCGCTGCTGCAACAAGTGTCAGACGACGCGACGCGGTGGTCGGTTCACTCCTAAGTCAAAATAACAAAGTGTTTCTACCAGCTCCTACGCATTTGAATACTTTTTTTATTATTTCTGTGCGACGCTTCTCACTCTACGCTGAGATGTGATGTCAATTTTTTAACCCATATTAAAACGAGAAGGTGTTTCAAGTGCTTGTTGACGAACCCCGGTCTGAAACATTTAAAAATAATCTTTTATAAAATTTAAATAAACAAATGACATAACAATTTAGGGTTTAACGTGTCTTGCTACAATTATTATGGAAGAACGCACGAAAAAATTGAACATGATTCGTGTGCGTGTTTGAAAAAAGCGGGCAAAGATAACATGCTAACTTTGATTCGCCTAATATAACTTTTGAAGAATGTTCAATCACAAGATTCCATAGGGACTGAATAAGGAGTATGTAAGTATTTTTTATTTAAAAAAGTATAACATATTTTTATCATCTGGCATTTCAATATTTTTAATGTAAATTTTTTCATTGAATAACATTAGACATGTTCAAAAATTAGAAAGTATTTTAACACTCCATCGTAAACCAATTATTTTCACAGTGATATTACAATATGAATAGGTTAATGGAGATGTGGGGGATGATAAAAGAACAATATCAAAGGAGGAAAATAAATTGGGAAGTTAACAAATTTGCAGTCATTCCAATAAATGATGGCAAAATTGGAAGTTACCAAAGGGTAAATATAACCCATAATATAGAATAAATCTTAGAAAAAAGTCTCCGTTATATCACAGAATTGCTTGCGATACTTTAAATTAATGACTCAGGAAGCACGCTAGATAAGAGCGTATAATGAAACCTCTTCCCGTCTAATATTGACTTTTGTAGATCATTAATCAACTAGGACGTGGGCGACCAACGTTACAACATTTAGCTCTCTAAGCTCATAACCCCTACAAGCTTTAGACACGCCTTTTCTCTGTAACCCAACCCCCATGTAACGCGCAGCGACCCTTCTGTTGATTCTCGTACGCTAGGTACGAGACGCTTGTACCATCAGTGGAATTCCGAGTCAACACACACAGCGCCCCAGCGGCGATTCTGCGGTCGCCTCGCCTCGCCTCGCCGCGCCAGCGGTCTCCAATGAACGGCCAGCCCCGCTGAGACATCGCCAGGGCGCGGCGTTGCCACACCTCTCGCTGACCCTGCGCTATACAGCGCCTCCAGTGATTAATTACTGCATCGGACATGCCGTCGGTAGCCCTCAATGTTCACCCGGGTCTCTGAATACATTTGCTGGGGAATATGGCCGACTTTACGTGACGGCCCTGACGTGCGGGGGCACAGGTCGATTTGGCGTTCGTGTTCGGAAATATAACGTTGTTGCAGTGACTTTTTGGTTTCATAATTATAATGACACAAGGTAAAAATAATGTAAGTATAATTTCTCGTAGTTTTCTTCTGACTTTATATTTCTCGTTCATTTTGTTACGAATTAATATGAGTGAGTATACATACGAAGTGCGTATCACTTTATTCTACATTTCAATATTTTCTTACGTATTTAGGTTTTCAATAATTGAAGACACTTTCGCTTGATAATATTTGAGTTTATAATTTTCGTTGGTTCGCAGGGATTACTTTTTGGATCCATATTATAGCAAATACATACTGTCTCGGTTAATTTCTAACTTTTCAATTTTTCGAAACTTCAGCAAGTTCAACGAAAGTTAAACCCTGCCCCATTGTGAAGCATCGTTTTTTCTCACAGTGGAAAAAAATAAAGAAAAAAACAGGAGTCTCATTTTGAGACAATGTTTTTTTATAAATTGCATAAACGGAAATTACGCGAAAACTACTAGTAGATTGAAAAAAAATTGTACAAGCTCTGATTTTAAAAACTGACTTTGTAAAACAGATTCCATTTAAGACAAAAATCTCCACCTTCACTTTTGTACTTTTGAAATATTACATTTTCGAAAATGCAGTGCTTTGACCGAAAATAGGACCAGAACCAGTTTTTTCGAGCTCATTTAAATATACGAGAAGAACATTTAAAGAAATATGGAGCCGATTTTGAAAAATAATTTGTTTAAAAATTGCGTAAACTTGCTGCAAAATTACATTAATACTACTCACATTTTTCGAAGGAAAAATTGTACATGAATTTCTGCCGCAATCTGTCTTTAAAGAACTGATTTTATTAAGGAAAACATCTCTATATCAAATATTACAGTTGTAAGAAGACTCAGAAAAAAAATTGAACTTTGATAACTTTTGAAAATGAGGCAGTATAAAGAAAATGAAATTTGCAGAATCTTCACGCCATTTGAGAGCAAAGTTTAATAAAAAAAATTGGATCCACTTTTCAGAAAGTTTTGAAAATGTTTTTGAGAATTAATTTAAAGTACTCCCAAAACCAAAGTGTTTGTTTCAAACACGCAACCACAAACTAAAATTTTGCCGTCGATTAATTTTTCGTTTCAAGGATCCACAAAACACGGTTTCTAAGTTCCCAATGTAATAGAGGAAGCGATTTACTACATATACAGAACACGATCCTTTTCCATTACCAGGGTTCGGCTGAACGTTTTTCTCTGTCGAAATAACGCCGAGTTACAGCTCACGTTTGCAATACTTTCCTTTCTTACGAAGAAAGGCAAGGTAGTAAAAATACGACACGTTTTGTACATGCTTTAGTTATTCCAGGAGGGCGTGAGTTATTGAAATTATTTTGTAGGATTAAGAATGGCGTAGACCTTTGTTTTATAAAATACTGAAAGGGAGTTAAACGCCATATCGGTCATTTAATTAGAGGGTCTCGTCTAGTATCTTTTATTCGCATTGTCAGTTCTTGTTACTTTCTTTCAGGTGCGCTGTAACCGATATAGACCACAAACATGTGCTTGTTGCATATCTGAGCAGCAGACAACCAAATTGATTACTAAATTTTAATATATGCAAAACGATTGAAAGGTGTTTTGAAAATCTATGCCTTGCACGAAAAAACGGACATACAAGAGTTTATTTCAGGTATTTTTTTTAACTGTAATGTCGTTTTGTTAATGTAGCAATTGAAACATGGAAAGTTAATATTTACGTTACAAGTTCCTATCTATGGAACTTTAATCAAACTTCTTTCACGAATAATTTCATTATGGGATTGCATAATCTTCTCACAAGTACATTGGAGTACTGATATAAATAAATCCATTCTCTCACCTACTCTGGCTCAACACAACACCTGCATTTCTATTTCATTAACACTGATTCTGAACTGTAGTATTCGATCGTGTACGCCACATCTCACTTTGTGTGATTAGATGTCCTTCATTCATTTCATATTGGCGCGTTCAACGTAGCTCAGAGCGCTTTATTCAATTTATATTTAAATCGCCGGCAAGGCCCCATCGAGCGAATGAATTTTGAGTGAGTCGGCCTCAGCCCCCGAGGGTTCCGCAGGAGGAAGTTATGGAAAACAATAAAACGCGACTTGATTTGAATTTGAAAGCGAAAGGAACCCCACCGCTCCGCGGAGGAGGAAGGTGGGGGAGTGGAGGAAAAGACCCATAGAAAATAACACGTGGAATGAGAAGAACTTGGACTTTCCGATGATAAACGCTTTGCTATCCAAGTGATGCAGTCAGGTTACGTTCTTCTAGTGTTGTTTCTTAGTTATATTTGTTGTTTGGAAAGAGACTTGAACGGAGGCTCATTCCAGGACTTTTTCATTGAATAATTTTTATTTCTTTATAATGAAGTATACATATATTTTATGATGAAAGTGAGTAACAGCTACATATAATGTATTATTCTCTCGTTGTAGGGATGGTATTAAATACTAGTCAAGGTGATACACATTCAGTGATAAAACAAACGCGCGCGCACAAACACACACACAAACACACACACACACACAGATGATGTTCCTTATAATATTAACAATTTAGTATTATTAGCAATTTAGTAATTTAATATTTGCGTAATTTTCATTATTTTCGTCTCAGAAGCATAGATTTCGGTAAAAAGTGATTTTCTGTAATTTTCAAATTTCATCCTAACCTGCCTGTCACCAAAGTTTTATGCGCATTTTCAAGACTCAATGCGTTGTTGATAACTAGAGGCCATTCGGTTGTGAGCAGATAACGCACTGCAGTTCTGACGGCCGGCTGGAGAGGACGAGTGCTATGGCAGGGTTGCCCCCGATACAGAGCTGTCGTAGCATGCACCCAAATACCTTCAGTTTACAAGTTTTCATTTTTCGTCGTTTGAATCAGAAAACAAGTTTTCTTCGTCTATCCTCGGAAAAACTTATGTGCGTTTAATCAATTAAAAAAAATCTTCTGGACATTATTGAAGAAGAGAAATCTTCAAGAAACTGCTGCGCAGTAATGGAAGTGTGTCTCAGGGAAGTTGCATGTAAAACATTTCTTAATTTAATTGAGGAGAAAGTGGTTGCGTGTTTTTTTTTCACCTGATGACTCTCTGTACATATATAATGGTACTAGTGGTCTTTATGAACAAATTACTACTGAACAAGAACAAAAGATACAATATTGTCATACAACACGGCAATTAATTCAATATTTTAAAGAGTCTTCGCGAGTGTAATAACGTAGTATAGTATACTGTAAACAGATACACTGTGCAACAGATCTTTACATACCAAGTATATTAAAAAGGTTGTTGTTCCGTAACACATCACGTGAATAGCAAATTCAACCATTTCATTACTTAGCACTAACATATTTTAAGGTTTCCATGATTATTCATTCTTTATTTTCAATTATACACGGCCTTCATCCATACATTACCATACTCCAAACATAACATTAAGATTTATCTTCTTGCATTAATCGGAATTCTTTGGACAGCCTTTAACATTTTCTGTTCCATTGTCATTCTATTTCTTATTTCTTCTCAACAAACTCAATTTCATGTTAATAAACATGACAGATATTTATAAACCATGACTTGCCCTCTATTTCCTCAAACCAAACTATGACTAAATGCAAGCGTTTTAAATACGAGCTCGCAACGTCCATACATTTCTATACTACAAGTCCTTACCTCACTTAGTAGCCACTTTTATTTATACACTTTTATCAATATCTGGCGGCATTGGAGCCTTGCTGTCGCATGACTTCAGCTTATCGTAAGCATTGACGAACTGATTATGAAACTTCTGTGGTTTCACGAGGTATGAAAATAGGCAAAATATTGCAATCAAATATTTCTATTTGTACTCAAAACTAAAAATATGTCGATTTTGCGCGAGTCCCTGACTGTCTAAGGAGACCATTGCCACCTATTATATGTCCGAATGCTGATAGTATTCTTCCAAATTCAGTCTCCAATGTGAAACTTTCATTTTATGTAATTAGGCATTAATTAAATTCGGAAAAAAAAGAAAATACAGCGAATATAATATAATTGCAATCATATTTCAATTTACATAAGTATATTCGAGATGTCATTTTCATAGGTCCGTCTAAAATTCGCAGTGAATGAGTAACAATAATGAAATAAATAAAAGTTGGTTTTCCTTTGCCTTTCACAACCGACAGCGGTTATTCTGTAGATGTAATTTTTAAATACTTAGGAGCTTGAAAACAAAACAATGTTTAGTGGATTTATTTATTCCATTTCACGTCTAACAGTTCAGGAAGTTTCAGATCCTGTACAAATACTTTGATCATGTAATATTGAAGACACAAATATTCTTTAATACACACACTTTAATATTATTATTATTGTTATTATTATTATTAATAACAATAATAATAATAATAATAATAATAATAACAATAATAGTAATGTCGTCCCCGTGGGGCAGTCGGGTGCTCCGAGGAGGTTGCAGGTTCGAGTCTTGTGACGAGACATGGTCGTATTTCTGATTGTACCTTCATCCCTCATCATCATCCTATCATCTCATAATTCACACTTCAAGACGTAACAACCTGTTATACAAGTACTGAGGGATACAGCTGAAAAGCTGATTTTGGAAAATTACACACGTTAAGTGTGTAGCGGGGTCAGTAATGAACTCTACGCCATTAATAATAATAATAATAATAATAATAATAAATGATTAATAATGATAATAAATAAATGATTAATTATAATAATAAATAATATCAATCAATAAATAATTAACAATAATTAATAAGATAAATAATGCATTAAGAACAATATTATGAGTAAAACAAAACCTACTTGTCAAAATAAGTGTTGAATTAGATCTATACAACAATCCATTTCTTGTGGTTTTTGTAAAATAACTTATTCACAGACACCGGTTTCTGCCCAAAGCCGACCACGCTGTTTGGTCGGGTTTATTCCCAATATTTCTCTCGAAGCGATCCTTCACCAAAACATTCTCGTGTTGTCTTCCGTCTGGGGCTTCGACCCGCCCCATGCTTC